CCCGACAAATAATGACCTTAACCATTTGATATCACATGTTATGTCTGGAATCTCGACATCCCTGCGTTTTCCTGGTCAACTCAACTCCGACATGAGGAAGATGTGCGTAAACTTGGTATGAGTTCCGCATCCATGTCTTCGCTTACGCGATATTTACCAACGCTAATATATGTGTTTCAGGTCCCATTCCCACGCCTTCACTTCTTTCTGGTTGGCTTTGCCCCCTTGACGAGCCGTCAATCGTTTGCATTCCGCTCCAGTACGGTAGCCAGTCTCACGCAGCAAATGATGGATCCTCAGAATATGATGGCCGATTCGGACTTCCGTAACGGCCGCTTCCTCACATGCTCTGCCATCTTCCGCGGCAAGATTGCAGGCAAGGAAGTGGAAGAGCAGATGCGACGCACTCAAGACAGAAATTCGGCTTATTTTGTGGATTGGATTCCTAACAATGTGCAGTCTTCGCTATGTTCTGTGCCTCCCAAGGGTCTCAACATGTCGAGTACCTTCGTAGGTAATTCTACCGCCATCCAGGAAATCTTCAAACGGGTAGGAGACCAATTTCAGGCCATGTTTCGCCGTAAAGCGTTTTTACACTGGTATACGGGAGAGGGTATGGACGAGATGGAATTTACTGAGTCAGAATCCAATTTGAATGACCTTGTGGCCGAATACCAGCAGTATCAGGACGCAACTGCAGATGATGTCGACTTCGACGAGCATTGGGGTAGGGACGAAGAGGCTGGAGTGGATGAAAAAGCAGGTGGTAGAACGGAGCACCAGTAGGACTTCGCTCCGCATTTGCCACTCCCCACCCTGAGCGAGGCATGGGCGGCGATAAGCTCATGCTAGCAGCTATATTCAGTTGGCGCATATATCTGCACTTTTAATGCCTTGTTACTTGTCTCCGGTGGCGAAATAGTATGATTCGCCGTTCCGTTGTATGGGCCTCATACGCTTATTTTCACTTACGAGTTCGTTAATTTGAGCTTGGTCCACGACAGAACTACCAGACTCCAAATATTCCTTCCCTGGCCCGAGCCCCTAAGCTAAGCTTAGATGATGGTTGTGCCTGGTGTCGCTAGCGTCTAGCTTTTACAGCCGGACTACAGTTTTTAGAATGACGCTCTGGACGCCGATTACGTTCGATTAGTTTTGTTTTTCTTGCTGTACAGCTTTTTTAGGCTCCAACATAATACGAAGCATCTTTGCCTCTTTTGACGTCATATCTGGGCTCTGAAGAAAATGGACGCGAACTAGGGGTGTACGTGCGGGGCGTACCGGATGGTCGTCCAAAAACCGACCGGAGGACAAAGCCCAGGCCAATTGTACTATGCGACGGCGGATGGCTATACCTGGAAAATGAGTGACGATTCTTTCCTTTATAAAACGCAAACATATCCAGTGCAGTTCAATCCTATATGAGCCTATTGATGAATCGACATTTCATTCAACCCAAATATGTCCTCACTGCAGCCGTCGACTGGCGCGTCAAATCCCGCTAGAGCCGTATCGGCCGCTTGTTCAAGTCGGATATGGACGGAGTTAGACGGGGTCAATTACGGGCAGCACCAGCCTCGTATACCAAATATTTTGTGCCACACTGTTCTGACAAAATTTCCGGCTTATCCTCCTTGTTTTACGGTCAAGTCTCTGCGCCACATTATTTTACACCAAATCCTACTAGAGCGCTCCTAGGATATTTTACTTGGCACTCATGGCTAGGGTTTTTCTATAAGACCAACCAGCGCAGTTTTCTCGTACGAGAGGCTGCGTAACTAAATAATGAGTCTGATATGCATTGGTGTCTTTTGGCAAAAAAGCCCGCGTGGCGCATTGATGCGTTATGACTGATAGTCGGGGTACATGATTTCTTCAACGCATCGAGCTTTGCCATTAAGCAGCAAGACAACGCACCTGAGATGACCGTCCTGCTCCCAGGTCGTCGTTCTCGAAATTCCGACGAGACAACGTCCGCAAGAGGTATTTCACCGGAATATGTTGTGGCTCTAATTTCACTTTATTTCATATTCTCTGATTTGATGTAGATGCGCAGATTATACGTAGACAGGTAAGTATGGCAGTCACTGGCTGCATGGTCTACGTACATATTTTCCGTCAAGCTTGTCTTCGTCGAGCGCCTCGTTCAGCAATTTCTGAGCGGCTATTCCAACGTCTTGGAAAGGTCAGCACGCGCGTGCCACGTCCATCTTCTTATTTCTCACCTCTCCTTTCTATCTGCCATACTAGATGAATCCTGCGCGTTGAAGTCGCGCGTGAATCAGCTTCCGCAGATACGGCAGGTGAGCGGCAATGCCAAATCCGGTGGCCAGCATAACAACATTTTCATATGAATGTACTGGTAGCTTCTTTCCATGCGGTCCGCTGAACATTGCCCTACGTGTGGTAGGGCCGTGGTACGATAGAGCGAACAGATTTTGGGTGAAGCCGCCGCGAGGCTCGATAAACAGGTCGAAATGCTTCTGCGGCTTTTCGGACCAAGATATCATGTAAAAGGATGTGTCTGTGCGGCCGCCGTGAAAAGGCACTCAGAGGACGGCAGCAAAAGAAAATCGCAAAGAAGGCCGCCGCTAAGATGTGATCCAGCTGTTTGTACTGTACTTGTATTAGAACTTTTGAGTTAAATTGCAATATAGCCAATATATGGCAAGTCAACTCCTCTGTGCCTTGCTCTGTAGCTTCTGACTAGCCTTGCGTAGGAACGGCCGGATAAATTGCAATGCGTTCTGCTTACCAGTTTAGTCCTGGCCTAATTTGATGGGTAGCTAACTGGTTAGACAATCTCCCTACCGCGTTGCTTTCTGCGAGGGCAAAGCGGGGCTCACTGAACTTCACCGACCGTGTCGGTGAAATGAGACGCTTACCAGCAGAAGTGCGGGTGGTGAGGCAATTTTGTGTGGCCATTCGAAATGCAGGCAGGAGAAATTTGACCACGTGGATCATTTCCGAAGTCATGTTGAGCAAGTCCATGGGGTAAGTCTCAGGACATCGGACCAGGTCGCAAAGAGAAGACAAAGGCAGACGGAGCGCTGCTCTCACCCCGTCGCCATTATTTTGAGCCATTGGTACTCCTATCGTGGCGGACAATATCTCATACGGGTCCGCATTTTCGGCCAGTTCAGTTGCCTTAAGCGCAGCTTCGAGGGCGAGGCTGAGGACGTGGTCCAGACATCAAATTCGGCGGGCAACTGGGTCGAAGTCGATCTAATCCCTGTAGTAAATCTATGGGGCTTGTGTCGTTATACATGCATTGTACCCCAAAGTTAAATGGCCTGATAACGCCTTTAGAAGCGTATCGTTCGAGGTAGCATTATCGCCAGTATAATAGCCGATCTTGGTAGTAATACCGTAGCTTCGGAAGACACCGAGGACGTGCTCAGCTTGACGTTCTCCGCTTTGGCTGTGTGCTACCTGGGGGAGCCCGAGTAGCGCTTTCCGAAGCTTATAGCCGCCGTCGACCCATTGTACACAGATGGCAAGATGCCCTCGACGCGCAGGCGACGTCCACATGTCCGTGGAGAAGTGTATCTAGCCGACGGCATCTTGGATCGCCATATGGAGTTGTTGGCGATATACTACATGGTTTCTTTTAAGGAAGCGCATCAGTGCCCGCCGGGAGAGCTGTACAAGGTCCTGGATAGCATGGTTGCCCGCCAATATAAGTTCTTTAAGTTCCGGCCAGTCTGTGGCGCTCAGTGATACTCTCCTTCGAGCACAAAGAGCGATGAACGCCCTAATAAACCGCGGCTTATCGAACGCCTGTCGGAGCACGACCTGCTGGGAGCAGTGGACTCTAATCGGCTGTATATAGTGGTCTATGGAGGTTTGATTTGGACTCTCCGTACTGTGGGCAGTGGTGTGGTTCAGAGACCATTCCCTCCACTCAGCCCTATGCGCTCTCTAAACATGCTCCTTTGCATTGCCAGTGTAGGCACTGCTCCAGGTTAGGCCCGCGCCCCGCTTCTCGCATGCAAGACAGTAGTGCAATACCTTCTTGTGCCTTCTCGCGCCGACTTTCTGGGTGACATGGGTCTGTTCAGAGCCTGTTGGAAGTCGAAACAGAGTCCAGATGTTCGGCTGCTGGGGACAACGTGGTGTAGAGCCTTCCGAAGACACCATGGATGGTGAGGCAGGAGCGGATGAGACCGGAAATGATGAAGGTGCGGTCAAGGATATGGTGTTTGTTAACTTCTTAGTCTGAGGTTGGGATATTAAAGATGCGCGTTTCCCAACGGCTCCCGCCTGAAGATTCAGGGGGCATAGTCATAGGGGAGAGCAAATAATGGGCCAATCAGAGCGCGTTGTACAACAGTTGTACAACAGTCCAAAAGTGTAATTGTAGTACTACAGAATCCGGGGCCAAACTACACAACGCGTTGTACAACGTGTTGTACGTATAATCTTGCCT